GAGAGAGAGAGAGAGAGAGAGAGAGAGAGAGAGAGAGAGAGAGAGAGAGAGACTATGTGTGATGACTCCAAAGGTAGATATACATCCAACAACAAATTTCTAAAAGATTTGTTAAAATTTGTCCAGTGGTTCATGAGATGTTTTGCTGACCAAACAGTGGACAACAGTGACTCCTCAATAAATTGTCGAATACCTTGTCAATTTTCTAATAAAAACTATTTAACATTGTCTAAGTGTCTGACATGTTGGTTATATAAATACATGTCAACAAGCAAAGAAAAAAATGTTCAAAAAGACTGAAAATGTTTTTATAGGTAATGCATTAGAAATTAAAAAAAATATTTAAAATTGCATATTTTTCCAGAATGACTGTCTTATTGGCTTCACATTAAAAACTAATTTGTCTGAAAGCTTTTTAGCCACCCCTTGATGGCATTTAGTCCATCAGCTCTAATGTCATGAGGCCTCTGAGATTTTAATTTGTTGATAAATTTAAGAAAGACATTTCTTCTTGTGTTTTTTTCAGGGGCTAGATGTGCAATAGATTTATTAATTTTTCATCACATTTTTAACGTTTTATCCTATTTATTTGAGTAAATTAAATTGGTCAGGATTAAGGGGAAAATTACATTTGGCTAATTGTTATTTTTTTTCTTTTTCTTTCTTCATTCATTCATTAAAACTAACAAAATAATATGTATGTACAATTAAAACAAGAACAAGTCATAAATGAAATTAACAGAAGCAGAAAGAGAAGAAAAAATTCCCAAAAACTAAATTCAAACAACAATCAATATCGGGTCCTTCCCGAATATCGTATTTTTTCAACYAACTTTCACTTTTACCAGCTTTTTTAACACCAACATTCAGAGCTAAAAAGGGATTTAATAAGAAAATCTGTATTAGAAAGGTTCTATAAATTTAATTAAAGACTTTTAAAATGTTGTTTTGTTTCATAAAAAGGTCAATAGAGTTGACATGGAACTAACTATACATCCTGAGAAGGACCCACAGAAACTTTGGGTAACCTTGTCTAAATGGTTGAGGATCTTATTTTTTTAAACTATCATTCAGAAATCACATGCAAAACTATAGCAGTCTGAAGTCCACGTGTCATTCTCACATCATGCTTCTCATCTGCATGAAGAGAAAATAACCTCAGGCTTCAGACACCCACACGGTGCAGACATGACAAACACTTCCTGCATGTTTATCAGTGAGGTTATACTGACTTCTAACGGTCCATCAATGCCACTGCACACAAACTGAGAAAATGTTTTATAATCATTACAATTTTCCACTTGTAAATAATAACTAGGGGCTAAATAGCTGAGCTTATTTGCAGATGTGGACAAATTCTGTTACCCATTTCCTGAAGAAAAAAAAACAAATAAAAAAATTGAAAAAAATTTAAATGCAAAAATAAAATTACTGAAAAACAACAAATAAAACAAATCATTCATTCTGTTTGATTAAACAGAATTAAAACAAGAATAAAAATGGTGTTGACAAAAGGGATTGTAACCTAAGAAAGATCTAATCTAATTTAACAAAAGCAACATAGTAAACTATGGTGTGTCCTGTAATGACAGGTGTTTTCAATCTTGTAATCAGTCAGTCTGCCTGTTTAAAGGGTGAAAACTCACAATGATGTTTGGTATTATTGTGTGTACTACACTGAACATGGGGAATATAAATTTAAGGAGAAAGTTGTCTTGGAGCCTATAAAGAAAATTATTAACAAACAAGTTAAAGGCAAAAGCTATAAGACCATCACCAAGCTTGATGTTCCTGCTGAAAACACCACATTCTGAAAAGTCTACGTTCCACAGGAATGTAGCCAACCTCCTTGGACGTGGCTGCAAGGGTAAAATGGATGACATCTGAAGACAAAATGAAGAGACTGATAAAAGAACAGTAACGAAAGAACCCAGARTGTGCCATCAGTCACTGATTGAGGCAAAGGGGATTTAATGGAAGATGACCGAGTAGGACACCAAATCATTAAAAAGAGAGATAGGAATTTTCCAGTATGCATGATGACAAGCTACAGAGCTTCTGGGAGAATTTCCTTTGGACAGACGAGACACGATTGGAGCTTTTGGTCAACGAGTCATATATACCAAATATGAAACGTTCAAAGAAAAGATACTGCTTATTAGGAGCTGCTTTGCTGCATCRGGGGCAGCTGTGGTAGAGTGGTTAGGGGAGTCGTCCTGGAACCGGAAGGTCGCCGGTTCAATCCCTGTCCAGTCGACACAGTCGTTGTGTCCTTGYGCAAGACACCTTACCTGCCTTGCCTACTGATGGTGGTCAGAGGGTCCGGTGGCGCCTGTGAATGGCAGCCTCACCTCTGTCAGTGTGCCTCAGGACAGCTGTGGCTACAATGTAGTTTGCCATTATCAGTGTGTGAATGGGTGAATGCCTGTAGTGTAAAGCGCTTTGAGTGTCCTGGATGGATAGAAAGGCGCTATATAAGTACAGTCCATTTACCATTTACCATCCTGTACAAGGATCTGCAGGGTACATTGAAATCTTAAGACTATCAAGGTATTCTGGAGAAAAATACAGGTATGCTACCCTGAAAGTTTGGTCTCAGTCACAGATCATGGGTCCTCTAACAGGATAATGGCCCAAAACACACAACTAACAACACCCATGAATGCTTAAGAACAAAACAATGGACTTATCTGAAGTGGCCTTCTGTGCCCTGATCTAAATCCTATAAAACAGAGGTGCCAAAATTGGCCCTCCAAGTCATTTGATTTGGCCCACAAGAAGTTGTCCTGGTTACTAAATTGTAATCTCCTGTTTTTTGTAGAAACACTATATTTCCACTAAGTCTTTTCAACCATTGGTGCAACTATTGTTACTAGGAGCTGTAGTCTGATAGTCTTAACTCATCATACTCACTTCATTTTTGAATTATGTTAAAATTAAATATAAAATACAAGTAACTACAAGATGTAAAGTTCAAATAAACATGACGTTTATTATTTTTGTTGAACTCTTTATTCGTCCACCATTTTGTGTCCCGCGCTCTCACACACTGAGCTGCCCGGGCAGAGAACAGGAACTTAAAAACTCCCCCGCTCGTCTCARGAGAATATAAGTAGGAGGTTAACAATCTCCCTCTCTCTTTAAAAATAAAAATTTAAACTG